TCAATTCTTTAAAATTTGACAACTATAATAAAATCACATGATGGATGAAATTAATTATTTCTAATATCATGTGATTTTTAAAATTACGTCATTTTAAAGAATCTGAATCGTATACTGATTTGGAACAATTCGTTACGTGATTTACACATTTTAATTACACGATTTCATCATGTAACATTGTGACATGATTTTTTTTCAGCAGGGAACGACTTCGCTCATTCCTACTAGCATACAAAAAATGAAAGCTGATTTAATAAATGAAAAATTTAATAGGAAAAAAGATAAATATAAAATTAAACATAATGCATTTAAATTTTACACATATTACTACAATATTTTTAATTAAAAATATAATTAAACGCATCGTCAGCATGTTGAGTTTGCGTTTACTTCTTACATCCAGAATTTTAGGGAAATGCTCGCGCGATCGATATCAAAGATGGAATTCAATCGTATTTTTTGGTATTAAAAATAATTCTAAAAAAATATTTTTTGTTTTTAACCGAATTCGAGTTTTCTCGTAAAGATGCAGAACACGCTAAAATACGCGTGACGCATTCCAAAACGGTGAAAAGCGCCACAAACGTGACAAGATATCGGATCTAACAAAAATCAGCTTGAATTTTTGAGCAAAAAGCCGAAAGTGCTATTCACAGGACTCTATTAGCGCATACAGATTTAATTAAAATGGGCATATGGTTCAGTCCGATGGCGCGCGCTTGACTTAATTGAAAAGCTGCGATCCAAGAAGTACTTCCAAAAGTAATAAACGAACAAGCGAGCGGAACATTCGGTCTTTGCCTACGATATTAATACACTTACGGAGGAAAACGTTTCATATATATTCGCCCGTAAAACAGTCTATCGTTGACGAGATTAATCCCTGTCAGTTAGCTCGTTTCGATTAAGTAATACAGCTTTTCGAGCGAGCAAAGTTAGTTAAAGCGGAAATACAACGACGACTTGTAAAAGAAAAGTTTAGCTTAGATTCGCAAAGAAAGATCTTTTTATCCTTCTATCTTATTAGTGAAGATAATTTGTTTAATTTATAAAATGGCAGATGCAAGAGAATAGAAGTTGAAAAGAAAAAATAAGTCGAGTGGATAAATGGTGCTTGCGTAGGGATGCTTAAGTTTATTAATACCCATTCATTCATTTGGAATATCACAAGACACTTGATGTAATAGTCACATTAATTATACGTAGAATAATTGTTATACATTTCTATTAATAATCTCTCTCGATTTTGCACGTTTACATTATATTGCGAATTGTTTTCTCTGTTGGATGATTATTGCGGTTGCCACCTTTCAATTAGTGTCTCGCTGGATTCCGAAGGCCTATATACCGAAAATAATAATAATTATTGTCGGCAACTCTCCATTTCTCTAAATAAACAAAGTCACTTTTGTGTTTTGTATCAAAAATTGCTATTATCCTTCCGCAGATCTAGCACTAATTGTTCTTTACTTATGATGTAAGGATTCTAAATGCCTAATAAAAAGGTTTGATGTTTGACTTTGAGATTTCTTTTTCGAAGGAAAAGATCGAAGTTAGTACCTATACAGTATCATTTCTCATTTCCTAAGAAAAAGGTCATCAAAATTTAGGATTAGAAATTTTTCCCGCCGACAGAAAACTGACGAGATGGCAACCATGGTGATTATGTGAATCGAAAAAATCATGAATTTTGCGAATGTATTTTGCGCACATGTCAAATGCGGCCATATTTAAACAGTTGTGCCGTGATAACTTTGAAGTAACATATCGCAAATCGCAAAAATGAATACGTATCAAATAAAAACGTGTAAAAATGTTTACGGAAAAGAAAAATCCAAAAATATGTAGTTTCATTCCAAAAAAAAAAAAAAAGCGGTAAAACGAGAAGAAACTTGCCATAATGTGAAATAAGCTTTGGCATAACGTCAAATTCAAATAACCGTGGCACTATGGCGGCATCTGGTACCACTCTTCTGATGTGTGAAAATGCGCAAGTGGGTTTCTTACACCATGGTTGCTACATAGCAAATATGATCTAAAAACATCCGATACGTACTATTAGAAAACTCTTTACAAATCAATTTCTTGCTCTATATACTTAGAATTAACTTGCAACATATCAAAAGAGCCGCATTTTATAAATAAATTATTTATCATGTCAGTATATGCTTACTTTAAGCAATAAGAATTTAATGCAATAAACCTATTTTTAAAGACTCGTTAAGAAAGTATGCGAACATTTCGCGATGTAGATCTATTAAACAAGTAAAATATATAAATAAAAGAGATGAGATATTTTTTAATGATTATTACGAATCCGAGAATAATTTAAATTCGCTATTCTAAGGTTGTACAGTTATATGTCTAAGAATGAAGTGAATAAAAGAATAAAGTAACAACATGAAGTTTCGATAGAATGCAACCTTAGTCCTAAACATCCCTAAACATTCAAGAGTACAATAATTAAGTCAGCAATATTTTTACACATATTATTTAGCCTTAATGTAATTCTAATCAAGTTGTATGAGAATATGCGATATGTACCGACGAATACATGCATAGTTTACTTGGTCGAAGAGATAACGTGCGCACGTATGTTTACGAGTGATCTCCACATGTGAAGAATATTTAAACCGTTTCTATTTCGTTCTAGTATCGCGAGATATGATATCGTAAGTAGAAACAGTTTAAATATTCAAAATATCCATAAAATTATACATACTATTCTGAAATTTGTTCCTTTATAAAATATAATACTCGTTATATATGTATATGTGGTTTCGTTGCTAGATATTCTTAAGAGATTCGAATGTCTTCCGTACAGATGGAACGCAAAAACGTATGGATGGACTACCAACAGTCAGATATATTAGCAATCAGGATTATCATTCCGTAGTATTCTTAGTCCCGACTGTATCATCTTTACTTTGATTTTAAGCGAAGCTTAAAACTCTCTCTTTCTCTTCAAAACTGATAGACAGAAAGGGAGAGTTTTAAGCCTTGCTTAAAGTTAAAATAACGTTGGGTGTAATCAGGCCTGCTTAATCACTTACGATCAGTCAGAACGGATGCTTGTTACGAATGTCGTTGTTAAGGCGCAGAGGTTCGGGCACAATCACGGAGCACGCGCGGTGGACCGCTGCGCGCGTGAATTGGATGCTTGCTGAAGTGGGATCGCATGAACTATTCAATATAAACAAAACGCACAGCGATTTTCCGCGTGCGTCCCATGATCGTGCTCGAACTTCCGCGCCCTAATCGTTGTTCTATTCGCATAGATAATGTTAAGATAATGGAAATTAGTTAATTATGCAAATAACCTATCTATAAAATAAAACAACATGTACAGGTTTCTTGAGTATAAGTGCTACTTTATCACGTATTAGTGAAAATAAATTACACTTAATAATATATTGAGTAAAAATTATAAATTAAAACGATCAATACAAGAATATCAAGGTTATTATCTTTTTTTTGGATACGAGCTGCGTTTACGGAAAAGCATATAAGCCCGAATCCTCATGCAGATGATACCTGCGCTTTGACACCGAGCGCCGATTGATGAAAAAGGGATTACACGTAGGAATAAAATTTACTCCCATTACTCTTTTCTTATCAATCACGCTCGATATCAAAGTGTCGACATTTGCAGCATGAGGAACCGGGCTAAAGAAAGCTTTTGTGACTTGCAAACGTCGCTCGTTATCTTTTACACGCGCGAAATTCGAATATTATGCAATAGTAGAATTTTTATCATTCGAGTGAATAATTCGCGGTATAAAAGGTATTAAATTTGGCAGCTTCAGTCTGAATAATATAAAAGCCTCCATGAGTACCCCTTAAAAAAATAGATAAATACTACTCATGTATAATATTTGTTCAGTCTGCGGTTCTCTTGCCGAGAACAAGAGAACAAGAGAATATTGCTTTCTCTAACAATAAGTTATAAATATGTAAAAAAAATATCGATAATAAAATGTATTTTCGTATAAAAGAAGAAACTATTGATGAGCAATTCCGTCACGATTGCTTCCACAAACGCGATGCAATGGACATGTTCCACTATGTGTTCTCTTTAAGAGACAAACCTTCCTGATCTAAGAATATTTTCCGTACCAGAAGAGCATGGTTCGTTGTGTGTAGGGATACGAATTCGTTCTCGTCAAAGTGCACCGATAATCCATCAATAGTTTATATTCTGAGACTTTTTTTATGCTACCATTACGTCTATAACATGAGTTGAATACGAAGAAGCATATGATACCTGTACGATTACACATAACGAGCCAAAAATTTCAATTATATCGAGATATCTTACTCCCGAATTTGAGAAATTTTCACCCAAAACGCGACAAACTTATAGCCAATTCAGTTGAACGCACTAGTGCTTACTAGTAAATAATAAAGTCGTTCTACATCGATTTAATCTATGTAAAAGTAAAATGCAAATATTTCGAATTATAAAATACAGATTTTATTTAACAGCACAATAAAATGTATCGAAGATTTTATGGTTTAATCCGTTTTTATATTTATATTAAATACATATTTTTATGTCAATTTGTGTCCGACGGCTTTAATATGCATCAATAAGTACTGAGTGCATTCAATCGAATTTGCTATTGTTCGCTATTAAAAAGATGTTGAAGATCGTTACTCCTTTTATCTTTTTCGCACTCATTTGCTTACGCTTTATAAGAATATACAATCGTATAATTTATGCCGTTAACTCGATCCTTTTCTTTCTTATACTTGTGCCCCCTCCCCCTACACATTTTCTTTTCAGTAAGCTTTGCTGCCATATAAATATATTACAATTTGATTTACATTTATACACATACAGATAAGTCCACGTGTCTTATGGCCAGACGTACGTTTGTCTCAGATATAAAGAATAACATACGTTTCTCGTTGCAAAATATCGTCATATTTTAGCATTGAGAACGAATTCACGTCGGCATACACAAATATCTACTAAATTTCTTCATCTCTTTAAAAAAAAAAAAATCATTTTATATTTTGGCTTTACATTAATTGTCATGATTAAACAGGTACTATTATATGTTCACAAAGGCATAATCTTTGTTCATCTTGCATAATTTCAATGAATGTTTATCGCTAATTGATCTACTAAAATAGTCAAAGTATACTTGTGTTGTGAAAATTAGCATCCGCGGAAATTCAATGGACAATACGCGCCACTCGCAAGTGCAAATTTACAGATGCTACATAAACTTGCACGGCGATAATAAAAACCTTTTAATCGACCCGCCCACACTTAGGTACGATGTTTTTGTTTATCCAGAAATCGCAACTCGAATAACTTTGCGCGAGCAGCGCGTCTTGACCAACAATCAAGACTCTCTTCGCGCCTGACCGATCAGCCTGCACGACTTCGTTATGCCACACATAATGGTTAAATAACTGTTGCATAGCTGATACGTGTCTCTTTTCCTCGGGCGTAACAGCACCGTAAGTTCCTAGAATGGCCGCGGCATCACTGTCAGGATCGGCCAAATGCTGTCGGCGTGGTTGAGTGGCTACGTAAAATGGTATGTTTGTGTTCATCCTGGCGAGCGTCAGTAGTGGGCATACTACACGAATATCGGAAATCATTGTGACCAATCCCTTCAATGTAGCATTGTAATGCCTGGAAAATAGAGAAATGATTCACTTAAACACTGTAGCAATTGTCTACTGCCAATCATAACGACATCTGCGTAAGGAATTTTTTCTATTTTTTTTTCTGGCTTTTTCTGGTTATGATTAATTTGTGCGCAAGTGGCTTGTGTGCAATTGATATACACCCGAAAAATATACACACAATACGCAACGTTTACTATTACTTTTGAGAAAAAGATTTAAAAATAATCTAAATAACACCACACCGATCATTAATCGTAACTAGATCGCTCACCTCAGAGCTTCCTGTGTATAGCTTCTAGTTCCGAGCAAGGATTCTCGTACGATATTTTCGACCTGTGTCGCATTAAGAGTGACATTTGATGACAGGTATTGTAGCGGGGTACCAGAGTGCGCAGTGGTACCCATCACTACCTTTATCATAAGATTGTCTTGCGATAAGATTTCACCGACGTGCTCCTGAAGAATTGTTCCATCCAAAACGAGCCACTCGTGTCTCCTTTCCATGTAGATACTCGAGTCTTCTTTCATTTCTGGCAGACCAATGGTACCTACGTACCACGACTCTGGCACAGCGTCCATCAGATCTTCAGCGCTCTTGCTTCTGAGACAGGCAGCGTCGCTGCAACGAATTGAATCAAGGAATGGTCGGTTTATGTCTTCAGACAAATTCAATTCCCTGCCTGGAAAGATCGCGCTACCGCTGGATATCCACACTTTTGAGAAAAGACTCTTAGCTCGACGATAGCCGATCAATGTCGTTGCAAGAGTGCCGCCTGCTCGATGTCCCCACAGAGTAACGGAGGATTTGTTACCGCCGAAGTTTTCAATATTCAACTGTACCCACTGAAGGGCTGTTATGATGTCTGACAATCCATAGTTGCCCGATGTTGGAGGGTGGGTCGCTCTGGTGAGAGGTTCGACCGCCAAAAATCCGAAAATTCCCATTCTGGGGAATGTAATAAATATTTTTAATCATAACAGGATTGTTAGAGAAAAAGAAAAAAAATTTCCCTGACTTTTCCCAATTTTCCCTGTCACCTTTTTGAAAAAATTCCCTAACTAAAACCTTAAAAAACTTGTTCTTTAAGGTAAATAATTCTTCGAATATAAATATATATATA